CCCATAAAGCTAGTGTAGGGGCTGTTGGAGGCGGCGGCTGCGGCGATCATTGCAGCAGCATTAGGGCCGGTCATGGTCAAGCCCTGCGCCGCCAGCATCTGCTGCTGCAGAAGCGCCAACGCCTGCTGCTGCTGCGAGGCTGAAGCGACGGCAGCAGAGTTGCCCACAGAAGACGACAGATGAGGGTGGTGGTGGCCGAGACTGGCCAGGTTGAGGGCGCCAGACGCCAGGGAGCCGCCTCCAAGAGACGAAGATGAAGATAATGAAGAAGGTAAAATGGCCGAGTTGAGCCCTGAGGCTGCACCTGAGGAGGAGGAGGCGTTTCCAGTGGCGCCACCAGCAGAAGACTGCAGTCCTTTGGCGCACCGTTTCCAGGGCCTTCGAGCGGCACGTCGCAGTTCGGCGAGCGAGACTTTGCGCCTCATTTGTCTGATAGGGAGAGAGAGAGAGAGAGAGAGAGAGAGANGAGAGTGGTTAGAACGACGTGGTCAATGCGACGGCAAAAGTCAACATTGATCGGCAAAAGCAACAGCAGCAGTACTACACTTACTTGATCTTATCATTGGCGACAAAGCACACATCGTCAGGCGCCTCCACCCAGCTAATCATCTGCTTCTGTCCGCTGACATTGGTGATGGTGGCGATCTTGGCGCGGCCATTGAGCGAGGTCGACACGGCGCTGCTGTGCTTGGAGATGTTCTCAAACAGATCAGGCACTGACTTGCCTAGGATGCTCGGTGGGGCCATTTGACGGCGCTTCGAGGGCAGCGAGGAGGCCGAAGAAGAGGAGGTTCCTGAGAGAGGAAGAACAGAGAGCTTTAAAATGGAACAAACCAGTTTAGACAAAGCTTACCATTCTGATCGAGTGAACGCTTTCGAGAGGACGCCTCACAGGGCGTATTCAGTGCCGCCTTTGCCTCCAGCAGTTCTCGGTTTCTCAGCTCCGCTGTAAAATAGTAAAGTGATGAGTTCTCAAATTACAAAACTTTAAAAGTTTACACTTACCATCGAGAGCACTGATACCTGGCGGAAAGGCGAGCCGTTCAGGCCGTGGCAGCTTATCCTTGGGCAGGGCAATCAGCCACTCGGGCTTGGGCATCTGCGGCGTGCCCAGGCGGTGCGACACGTCCGTCACCTTGCCGCGATTCTTCGGGCGCATTCGCGGCAGCGGACTGACGCCCTTGTCGTGACGAGCAGAGTCTATAAAGAAAAAAAAGAAAAAATGAATCAACCGACAACGCTTGAAAATATCCAGAAAACATACACTCCTGCTTGAAGGCGGTGACGTTGAGTGGGTAGAAGGGAAATCGCGCCGAGTGCTTCAGCTTCAGCACATCAGCGCAGATGCGACGAGCCAGCCTGAGCGAGGCGGGCGCGCTAAAGTAGAAGGCCGCCCTCGTCTTCATGATCGGCCGGGGGCTGCCGGAGCGGTGCGGCGCAAAGGAGTTCAGAGCAGTGCTGCCACCACCAACACCTCCACCGATGCCAGCGGAAACCAAAGCAGAGACAGCAGACCCTGCTCCAGAGCCCGAGCCGACCACCAGCGATTGAGGACCACCACCACCGCCGCTGTTGGCGGTGACTGTGAGCGTCGGCGATGCGGTGACCACCGAGCCGGGAGCGTGTGAGACGGCGTGGTGACGTGCCAGCTGCGCCTTTAACTTGAACTCCTTTCCGCAGGCACTGACATTGCACTTGTAGGGCCGGTGGGAGGCCATGTGGGAGACCAGTCGTTCTGTGTGTTGAGAAAATAGTTAGCCTTTGAAATGAATCCCCTTCATCAGTGCTCTTACCCTGTCGATTGAACACCTTGTTGCACTCTCTGCAGGGGTACTGCGAGTTGAGATCAGTGATTGGTGGGGGTCGTGTCAGGTGGCTACTGCCCGAGAGGCCCATCATCGACCCGGTGGCGCCCATCACCTTGTCAGAGTGCAGGTCTACAAGAAAAATGGAATTTATTATCTTAAAATGCTATATAAAAGCTTCCCCAACACTTACCGGCCACTCGATGAGGATTCTTGAAGGCGCCAAACTTTTTCCAAAAGTTCAGGCACGACGTGCAGAGCACTACTGTCGGATAGGGCGCCATACTGAGCGAGTTCCAGTTGTTGGAGGAGGTTTCTGTGGAAGGAAAGTTGATGATGAAAGTTGTTAGCACATTTTTCCAAACAAATCATTTCGATTACGTACTTTTACAGCTCTCACACTGCGGCTGCTTGCCATTCATCAGCTCCGCCATTTGAGCAGCATTTTGTGAACTTGTCTTGTTGCTGTAACGATGAAGTTGTTGTTGTTTTTCGTTAAATTACCCATCTTTACACAGATTCACTTGAACACTTACTAGCTGGGAATGTAAACCTGCTTCAGTTTACTCTCATTCTCCACCGCCTTGATGCGCTTCTGCTGGACGTAGCGGTCGGTGGCCTTCCACGAGTAGTAGTACTCGATGATGTTCTTCATCGTCTTCCAGGGAAGCTACAGTTATCCAGAGGTAAGTTAGTCCAGTCCTCACACCAGCCACCTCAACATCCCACACTTACAAACTGCTGCTGAATCTCCTCAAACTTCTTCTCGTGGCGCTCGTAGGCCTCCTCAAAGAGAGAGGACTCCGCGGCGGACCACTCCTCAATCTCGTCGCGCATGATCACCGGCCGATTGTTGGGCACCAGACTGAGCATCGCCTTCTCCAGACTGTAGCCGTTCTCGTGCAGCGTGTTCATCGCGTACTGAATGGAGCAGTCCCGGGAGGCGTCCGCCACCGTCATGTGCAGTCCGGGCGACTTCACCGAGCTGGAGCAGTCGAGGGCGCGGGCAAAGGTGCCCACCGACTTGACCACAGTGATGAACTGCTCAATCTGCAGGTCGGTCAGCTGACAGTGATCGGGCGCAAAGAGGAGCGTCTCGAGGGCGGCGCTGTCGCGCAGGTCGGCGGCGTTTGCCAGCTCTTCCTCTTCCAATCGCTTCGGCGGCACCTCGGCCTGGTAGCGGGAGCCGACGCGAATGTCACCCCGCTCCGGTGGCGTCAGCGTCTTGGTGTTCGGATCGTAGACCATGGTGTAGTAGAAGGCGTCCTCGCGACCGAGGTAGGCCAGCGGCGACTCCGAGTCGCAGAACTGGACGACAATGCAGCGGCCGCGAATCTGACTGCTGGCGAAGGTCTCGATGGTGCGCGTCAGAAAGAGCTCCCGCTGTTTCACCTGGTGGCGGGTCCGCTCGGGCAGCGCCTCCAGCTGGTTCGGGTCGGCCAGGCCGTCTGCCTCCATGGCGCACCGCCGGCTGTCCTTCTCCGCCATGGAGATCAGCGAGGCGGAGATGTCTCGCCGCCGGTAGAAGCAGATCGCCTTCACCTCCACATTGCCACTTGGGCCCTGAAGTGAAGTGAATGAAGTGTTACCAGACTGCTCCCATCATCATCCTCACCAATTCATTACCTTGACAATCTCTTCAATCTTGCACACTTGATATGGTAGGTTAGAGGCCGTTTCGATGTAGACAAAGTCTGCCAAAGAGAAGTGAAGGTGGAGAACAACGTAAGGTGGAAGTGCCAATTAGTAAGATTGCTGCCGCTGTTTAATCAACAATTTCCCCTTTGCAACAATTCCCCACAAACAAGCAAAAAGAAAGCGGAATTTCTCTATAGCTAAAAAGCAAAATCATTGGCCAGTCTCAATATAGCAATGGCAGGAATAGCGGTGCCTGCACTGGTACTGCACTACTAATGCCATTTAGTCCCATTCATTACGACTATTATTTGCTTTGCTATCAGTGAATCTATTTTAGAACCCAAAATAGTCTGTGGATCGATGCCCATTCATTCAGCTCGATGTCAACTCGTGTGACACTGCGGGTGGAGGAGAAGTAGCAAACAGAGCACTGATCGTCCAGCACTGTCCCCGCGCGTCAGTGACTGCAAAGTCGACAGTGATAGCCACCAAGCGAGGGCGCACTTAACTCTCGCGCTTAATTGTTAATGCTGTGTACTCTCTCTCTCCCCTCACATTCACACTCTCCCACTCTGAGCTGAGCACTAATTAGAGTAATGGCGGATGTGCTGGCTACTACTAATACCCTCTCAACTGTTTTCCCCTCCTTCAGACTTCTTATGAGCACATGAGTTGAGAAGGTGCCGTTGACAGCTTACGGCGCTAGCGCACAGTTGACGGCGAATTAAGGTGCATAACAGTGTACCAAAATAGAACACCGATAATTTACAGCACACTCTTTACCTCCGATTCGGTAGATATTTGAAGAAGTGCTTGATGAGCCGTTGGAGCCTCCGGTGGCGGTTGAGGAGTTGCCGCCGTTGTTATGGTAACCATTGGAAGGCAGTTGAAGTGCACTATTGGTGCCGGTGCCCGAGAGGTTCAGACTGGTGGCGGCGGCGGTCACTGAAGAGGCCATCTTTGGTGGTGGTGCTGTTTGTGGTGCTGCTGCTGCTGCTGGTCAGTCACTCGTCATCCAGCCGGGCTGTCAGATGGGTACTATTATCCGATGGCGTCCTTATGCTGATGAGGTATGATGAGGATGAGGGGGTGAGGCGTGTGTTGCTGCCGTCTTCAGCACTCGGTTCAATCGGTTCGGCTATGGACAGCCCCGATGATGACAAAAAGAAGAAGGCACACCAGCTCAGCGCGGAGCGACCTGCACACAATGCGAGCAAACAAGCGACTGCCGCTGAAGCACTGATGGCAGCGCCAGCAGTGCGGCAAGCCGGCCAGCCTAGTCACCCTCTTCACCTCGCACTCGGCAGATGGAGAGACAGTTTGCGTAAGTGGATGGAAAAAGCGAAAAAAATATTTGGCTTTCAGAGCAGCAGCAACAACAACAACATCAGCTGCTGTGTCACAATCGAGTGTTTGGCGATTCTCATCCCTTATCTCTACCTTTGGTGAAGCTGGAGAATTATGAACTAGAATCGAAACCAAAATAAGACCAAGTAAGTTTAAAGTTCATCATTTTTTAGTGTTTTACTAATTTTGTTTTTTAAATAGAATTCACTAATGGCCGGGGAAGCATCCTCATCACCCTCCTCCTCCGCTTCGGAGATTGTCACCCTGAACGTCGGCGGCCAGCGCTTTGACACCACTCGCCACACTCTGCTCTCCATCAACGACACCTTCTTCTCGGTGCTGCTCTCCGGCCGCCTGCCGAGCAGCAAGGACCAAACGGGGGCCCTCTTCATCGACCGCGACCCGGCGCTCTTCGCCATCATACTCAATTACCTGCGAACTAATCAGCTCTTTGCCGTCACCGAGGCAAATGTGGAGGCGCTCAAACATGAGGCGCAGTTTTACGGCATCAGTCCTCTGGTGCGACAGCTGGAGCTGTACGGCAGTCTGGTGGAGAGTCCTACCTGCAGTGGCGATATTCTCTTTCAGGTTGGCTTTATTTAATTGATTTTAGTTCATGCTAACAAACTGCCGTTTTTTGTAGTCACTCTTAAAGGTGAACAAACCAAGTGAAAGCGTCGAACTCGGTCCGGTGAAACAGATCGTCTCTTTTGACAATGGCCTGGTGGTCGTCTACAGCCACTGCGTCAACTGCTACCGCCTTTCCGATAATTACGGCTGGCAGTGCGTCTTTGAGTCAGGCTTCATTGAAAATGAGATCGTCTCGGTAGACTTTCATTTTGAGTTCTCCATGGATCTACGGTTCATGTTGGCCATCTGCGAGAAGGAGATTCGATTGCTGTCCACTCGTCGGCTGCCCTATCAGCTGGAGAACAATGGCGGCGGTGGTGGAGGCGGCGGTGGGGGTGGTGGTGTTGGTGGTGGAAACAATCAGGCATTCAACAACAATTCCGTTCTTTACCGATCTCGGCACAGCAACACCACCAGAACTTATCAGTGCGAGGAGATTGGACGTTTTCACCTAAACAACTACCCCATTGATTCGATGTTCTTCATTGGGACGCAGTTGGGTGAGTTTTTAGCTGTTTTGATTTTGGGTATATTTTGACAACTTTTCTTTACAATTGAAAATAGTGGCACTGAGCAAGGAGAAGGGCCGCGTAGGCATCTGGAACAGCTCCCGTCGCTGGCTGGTGCAGGACCTGAAGCAGAACAAGACCTCGGTGATCACTGCCTACGACAAGGCCGAGTCCGACTACCTCTTTCTCTGCTCGAACCAGGGCACCATCTTCCTCATTGACATGCAGAAGTTTCCCCTGCGACTGAAGGACGGCGATCTGCTGATCAACGAGTTCTACAAGGACCCCGAGGGCGAGGAGATCTGCGCCATCAGCTGCTTCCTCTGCGCTTCACAACGCACCGACTACTTTCCCATCAGCGAGAAGTCGATTGAGATTGCCTACGGCACAAAGAACGGCACCGTGCGCATTCTGGTGCACCACCCGGAGACGGTCGGCCAGGGGCCGCAGCTCTTTCAGACGATCAAGGTGCACATGGCCGCCATTCGGACGATCACCCTCAACAGCGACTACCTCATTACGATGTGCGAGCGACTGCACGTGCGGACGTGGTCGCTGGCTCGCTTCCGGGGGCTCATCTCGACGCAGCCCGGCACGACGTCGCATGCCAGCTTCCAAGTGCACTCTTTTCAGTCGTGCAACGCACGAATGAGTCCCTCGAAGAGTGCTGCTGCTCTTCACTCGCCAACGAGCAACAGCGGTGGTGAGCAGCTTCCTTCCTCTGCACTTTCATCACTCTCATCGGGCTTGTCCTCGATGACCATTTCTTCAGAAGCTTCCTCCTCCTTCACCACACCTTTCATTGCCCCCGAACTGGGCCCCGGCCCGTACGGCGACCAGCGCGAGGGTGAGAAGCAGGTGCTGGTGGAGGTGGCCGGCGCCGGCCCGCCCACTCGACTGAACATTCTCTACGCCGCCAATGGGCAGAAGATTTGCTCCCTCCGCTCGGTGGACGGCTCTCCGGCCAGTGCGGTGAGCATCATGTACCAACACGACGCTCGCTACCGCCAGTTCATCATCACCGGCCACCGAAATGGCTTTGTGCAAATCTGGGACCTCTCCACGGCGATGGACCTGCAGCCGAAGGAGGCGGCCATCCTCGCGGAGCGCTCCATTGACCGGGGCCACCTGCTGCGGCACATCTTTCAGTAGTGCTGTGTGGTCAAACTTGTGATATTATTAGAATTACTCAGACAGGCAGGCATTTCAGCGTGTGTTTATTGCATCTTACGGTGTGTTATTTTATTTATTTGTATTTTTGTTTTTGTATTTCATTATTATTATGGCTCATCACTTTTTGTAGTAATAGTAAATAAGAAGAAGAGGAAGAAGAAGAATATAACAACAGTTCGAACTGGTTCAGAGAAGAGAGGTGAAAGAGCAGTGTGTCGGGGCAGCACATCATCATTATCAGAGAAGGCTAACAGCAACAGCAACAACAACAGATAAGGTGAAAGAGAAAGTGAAAGAGAGAAAGGATTGAAGCGAGCTGAAGAGAGTTGGATGGGAGGAGGATTGCACCGGTGGGAGGGGGAGGGGTGCACTGAGAAGAGCGAGAAAGCATGTCGTCTGTGAACAGTTGTCAACAAATGTGTATGTGTGTGGGAGTGGGTGTGGTGAGTGTCGTACCAAAAGTGTGTGTGTAATGCCCAACAAAAAGCGGTAAAAGTAATGGTGGAGGTGGTAGTAGGAAAAAGTAGTAGTAGGAAGTTGCAGTGTAGTGAGTGAGAGTAGTGTGGTAATCAAGAATATTCTTTATACTTCTCTTTGTATAGAATAATAATGCATTAATTTAATAATTAAAAGTAGTTAATAATTATATAAACAGGGATTGCAAACAGAGTTATAGAAGTTGTGGTGGTGGTGGTGGTGTTGGTGGCTGTGGCGTGGATTTGGGTTCTGAAGGTTGAAAGAAGAAGGAAGGAAGAAGAAAGAGGTGTGTGTGTATGCGCGAGTGTGTACGTGAAGTTTGAAGAGTGTGTGGTAGGTAAATATATCGTGTATATCTTCGTGGTGGTGGTGGTTGTGGGTGATGAGTCGAAATTCATGGTAAGCGCGAACTGGGTGTGTGGGTGTGGTGTGTGCTGTGGTAGTGGGCCGTAGTAGAGGGACTGGGTACCTAGTACCACACCCTGAACTGCAGACCTCTCTCACTTAGTACTTGCCAGAGTCAGCGCGCATGAAGGGGATGGTGCTCTGCGGTGATTGCTGCTGCTGTTGTTGCTGCTGTTGAGTCGACCGCTTTGTCTCCTCATCATTGATGGCGCCGCTGATCAGGTTACGGGCGTGACTGATGGCGGCCGGGTTGCCAATGATGGTGACGATGCGGTTGCGGGTGCCCGGCGCAAAGGTGCCCTTCTTCGAGATTTGAATGCTCGCATTGGACTCATTCTGAAAGTGCACCAGGAGCTTGCCGCCGTGGCCGAGGATGGCGCCGATGATGTTGTCGCTCACTTCCATCTCGTACTTGGTCGCATTGGGGTCGTTGCGGCCGCCGCCGCCCAGGCCCAGGTCCGACTGCTGGTCGAGTGAGGGCGTCGGACTGTTGGGGTTCTTGCTGCTGCTGTTTGGATTGCGACTGTTTAGCGTGGGGCTGGGCAGGCCGCCGGTGGCACTGCTGCTGGAGCCCGTCGGTATGCCAAAGGAGTTGCTGTTGCTCACCAGCGAGAGCGAGGGATGGACCACCTGACTGGAGACGGGGGAGCTGAGGGAGGAGGGCGAGGCGCGAAAGGTCTCAAAGACGGGCATCGTGTCGCCCATGTGAAGGCCGCGTGAATCATGTGGGTGGCTGCGAGGGCCGCCGCCGCCCGTGGGCGAGTTGTGGTGGGCAAAGGGGCCGCCCATGCCGCCCATCGACAGCGAGCCGCCGCCGACTGTGCCAATGGGGCCGAACATGTTGTTGCCGCCATTGCCCCCGCCGCCCACCGAGGGCACATTGGTACAGCCACTTTGGTCGAGAGCGGACATGCCGCCGCCGCCGCCCGCCGAGAAGAGCGTATTCTGGTGGTGGTGCGCGTGGGCGCTCGGACTGACGCCGCTCATCTGCAGACTCTGCGTAGGCGTGCCCGGACCGAGGCCCATGCTGAGGTTGCCGAGAATGGGCGTGCCGTTCATCATGCCATTGCCCAGGCCGAGGCCCAGTCCGAGCATGCCGTAGTTGGCGAGCGTGGCCATCGCATTGCAGATCTCATTGACGGCGTCCTCGGTGTAGCCGCAAGCTCGGAGCATGCCGCGAAAGTTTTCAATCATCTGCGACGACTGGGCAGAGCCGTTGGAGGCGGCGGCGGCGCCGCTCTGAAAGACATTGCCAAACTGCATCATATTGCCGGCGCTGTTCTGCACGCCCTGGCCGCCGTTGAAGGAGTTGTTCAGCGTGGGGCTCATGCTGTTCAGACTGCCGTTGGAACTGTAGTTGGGATTGCTGTTGTTCGAGTTGCCCATGCTCGAGTTGGCGGCGTTGGCGTACGGCGACCCGGTGGGGTTGAAGTTGGCCACCGGCCCGGTGACGTCGGCGTAGCTCACGTTGAGGCAGCTTCCACTCTGCGGGTCTTCGACAATCTTCGCCAGTATCATCTGACAGGCCTTCTTGTTGTACTCGTAGTCGCCGATTACGGTGATGCAGCGCTCTGCCAGCGCGTGATCGAGCGACTTTTGCGATATTTGCACGTAGGCGCCGCTCTCTTCCTTTATGTGCTTGATGTAACTTCCAGCCTTGCCGATTATCATGCCAGCAGTGCTGTTTGGTACAAGGATCTTCACCTGGAGAGGGAGAGAAAGGGGTAATTGAAGAGACAGTTGAAGAAAGAGGTAACAGAATGCTCGACTAGAATATAGTTAGAGTATTTACTTGTTTCTCCCTTTCTGCAGGCTGCTTGTTGTCAAAGTCTATTGCCATCTTCGCATTGGGGTCCGGCTTCTCCTTGATCTTCTCCATGATGAACTCGTTGATTCGCATGATTCCGTCCACTGAGCCAGAGATGAGGCAGACGCGCTCCGATGTACCTACGAGAAGAGAGACAGAGAAGAGGGGCCAGAGAGGAGGCGGGCAAGAGGGCGGAGCGTAAGCACAGCCGAGGTGGAGAGGGAACAAAACAGAGGGTAGAGTTAGTGTCGGCTGTTGTCAGCGGGTGAAGTGTCAACAGATCATGTCAACAGTGTGACCGCGTGGCAGTGTGTGTGTTTGTACCTGGATAGAAGTCATTCGCTTTTGACATCTTCACGCGAGCGTTTGTCTCCTTCTGCAGCTGTCCGATCGTCTCCCCTCCCTTGCCGATGATGGCCCCAGCGGCGACCGCCGGGACCAGTATTTTGAGGTGATAAATCTGGCCATTGATGTTACCACCTAGAGAAAGTTGACAAGTAGACAAAGCGAAGAGTGTGAGTACAGAGATTGCCGATGATCGACTACGACGACGATGGTGACAGGCGCAGCGAGCAGAGAGCGTCCCTGCCTCTCTGTGCCTGCGCCTTCAACAGCAGCCGCCGCCGTCGTCGCTCATCGAGTGTTGTCGTAGGCGCAGCTGCCCCGAAGACGATGGCAAGCAGCAGCAAATAATCCTTACCTTGCTGAGATGTTGGCGAATAACTCATTTGCTCGGCTGCGAACCAATAAGGCTGTACATCTGTGGTGAGAGGGGGCAAATGATGAAAGGGGGATGAGTGAGGTGAACAAGAGCAGCATTAGAGGAGGGTCAGCTCGTGAGAGGCGACTGCCGCTGCTGCTGAAGCTGAAGATGGGGTGGCCTGCCGGTGTGCCTGGTGCGCGCCTCGTCGCCGCGAGCCGTCACTGTGTCAGTGGGTGCTGGTGGCCGTGCCGATCGTCCTAGTGCTAGTGGCGGTGGCGGTGGTGCTCGCCAGCGACAGCTGAAGAAGCAGCAGGCGCTTGAAGATGAAAGGTCACTCGTCGCCAAAATCCACAAAGGTGATTTTTTCACTCTTCGCCAGCCAGCCAGAAAAAGCTGCTGCTGCTGCTGCTGCAGGGCGCTATTCTGACGCGTGATGGACGCAAGAGCAGGCTTTAAAGCCTGGCGACTATTGCCACAGACGCCAGACGCAAGGATACCACTGCTTCTGCTGGTGGATACTCTCGCTGTGCGTTGAGGGGATACTGGTAGTGGTATCCAAGAGCAGAAGCTGCAGGAGCAGCCGCCAGCCGCAGGCCCCACCTTTCCCGGCACCAAGCGGTAGGCAACAAACAGCGGCGGGGGCGGAGACGCCACGTTGATCGGCGGCACCACAGCCGATTCGGCACATGCTTCTTGCGCTCAGTCGCCTGCTTGCCTCCGCTTGGTGCGCCATCCTGTTCGTCTGTCCAGAGACTGGACACTGACACACGCACATACACCACCGCCAGCAGCAGAAGCGGCACCATCAGCACCACCACCACCACCAACACACCGCTACCAGGATGGACGTCAGAGAGTACCAGGCAAAGAGAGCGGCGAGTGAGCGATAGATTGAGTCAGCTAACCTACTAGAGACAGACAGGCGCTAGCTAGCGAGCAAACAAGGGGACCAAGGAGCAGTTTTGGGTAGCGGGTGGAGAGGGAGGAGGAGGAGGAGGAGGAGGTGAAGAGATCTCGTCTTCATGCAAAGATCAATCGCCGCTACTGCTGCTTACTGATGATGAAAACTGAGCTACCGCTGAACGCTGTCGCTCGACAACACTGAAGGTACTTTCTGACGCAGTCTAGCTAGAAAGCCTGGTACCAGACAAAGTAAGGGACAGAAAAAACAATAATAAAGAAAGATTGCTCACCGAACTCACCATTGTCGACGATCGTTTGTCGGCCGTCTGACATGTTGTTGTCTACTGAACGAAGCTGATGGTGACGCTCCTTGGGGAGCTGCTGCTGCTGCTGTTCATCGCCGTAGCCGATGGCCATACGACCGGACGGAGTCATTGAGTGGGGGAGTAGAGAGTGGGGAGTGGATGGGGATGACGATGGCGATGATGAAATAGTGCTCCTGCTGCTGATGCCTACGCCACTGTCTGTGTATGAGTGAGGTGTGTGTGTTGTGGGTGAATGAAGGTAGAGACCAAAGAAAGGAAGGCGAAGACGAAAGAATATGGTGGTGATGGTGATGGTGATCACAGAAGAGAGAAGGATGATGATGGGTTGGGGTGAAGGTGGTGAATGTGCTGGTGGTGATCGGGTGCTGGCGAGACAACAAAACCGAGAGTGTCGGCCGGCTGCTGCAGACGACTGCCTTTCCTCTCGTTGTCGCTCTCTTGCTCACTGTTAAAATGCTTCTCAGGCCGCAATGCGCCGTGGATGATGGCTCTTCGCTGGCAATCGCTCGCTTGCAGTAGTCAGTGCTTGGGCTGCAGCAGCGTTGTCGTCGACGGCAGCGGCGGTAGCAGTAGATTGCCAGGGTGCGAAGTTGCCAGTCGACTACGCTCCTCAACACTACCAGTGGTAGTCTACCACTACGTCACGTGTTTTTGCTGTGTCGTCTGCGACGGTACGCCGCGTCCTCTATCGGATTCAGTGCAGGGTATATTCTCCTCCTCCGGCTGATTCATCGACGAATGGGCTGATGACGGAGTGAACTCTACTTGCTAGGGGGGCACGTTCAAATCAGCTTGATATTGGAGATCCCCTCGCTATCTTTAGGCTTTGTTTGTTTATAACCGATGAGTAGGTGCCTTTTTAGACTAGACAGACGTGTGTTACTTTGTCTAGACAACAGTGGTTCCCTCTTCACTCTCTACTCGCAGTGCAGAATGGGTGATCGTTTCTTCGCCGATAGCATCTGGTTAACTAAATGGTTCCAGGGCACCTGGACGTGGGTCAAAAAGCAGTGAAAGGAACAGGAGGTTGCCTTCTGCCGGGCCTTCCACTCGAAGATCGCCTGCGGAAATGACGCCGTCGTCCACATGCTGGTCAACAGTTCGTCGTCGAGATCTAGAGAGTAGAGTGAATGTTTAAAATAAATTTAAATGCGAAATAACAACAAATCAAAACCGTACACTCACCAGCAAAAAGGTCGGTCGATTCAATGGTCAAACACTTTGCTTTCGTCTTTCGTCTCGAGTAGCACGAGTTCCGGAAGAGGTGACTGATGAACTTTGTCCTGCGATTGAGGTTCATCAGGTAGAGCTCCAGGTGAGAGTCTGCGGACTCTTCCTCCTCCTCGGGCCCCATCATCAACGAGGAGAAGGTGGAGCCGTCAGAGACCGATCGCTTAATCTTCCTCTTCACCACTATCTCGGCGGTTGCCTCCGTGTTGATGTCCTTTATTTGGATGACGCCAAAGTGCTGACCATTGCAAATTATTCTCTGGAAATGTGAAACCGTTATAACACATGATAACACAGAGTGTGATAGAGCTTACATTTTCTTTAGTGTACGACTCATTAACCGATCGGTAGTCAATGCACGAGGAGAATATGACAAAGGGCTCGTTCGTATCACTGGAAGTGTCTTTGGCAACAAGTTCAATGTAAATAGATTCAAGTTCATTGATTATGTTTTCGTATAAAAACTGCAATTGAAAAGTTGTACACATTAGCTACTTCTCATCTTTGAGACTCAGCTTTTTGCAGTACTTACGTCTTCGAAATTTTCAATATAAAAGTTAATGAGTGGGTAGGAATACTGTTCAATCGATTCCTTGAAGAGCACTGAATGCGAGCTGGGCGTTGCAAAGACTTTCACCTTCTGCTTGGAGAGCACTTGGTAGTGCTTGCGACTAGTTCTAGTGCAGATGGAATATAAAACTGAGTATTCGAGTTTTTGAAGTATCAAGTTCAGAAAGAGCGTCTCTTCCCAGTTGATTGATGCGTGAAGAGGTAGATTGGGAGAAAACTTTCGAAGAACGTCAATTCTTGGCTAAAGGCGAGGAAAAAAGAACCCGGAAGTAAACATCAAACACAGTGTGATCAAGATTTAGTCCATTTTACACTCACCACTGGTTCGGCACAGTTCCTCATCTTGCTAACCAGTTTGGAGTTGAGCTTGTAGATGAAGAAGAGCAGATCATCCTGCTTATCGTCGGACTTTTCCGCGACAAAGCTCTTAATGAACAGTTCCTTCCAAAACAAATCTGGTGTTCCACAACAAAAAAAACCGTTAGAAAAGAAGCGTTTGAAACACATAAACACAAACCTGGAGAATCATCGTCGTCGTCATCGGCGGAGACGCCTCCGTAGTGTTTGATCTTCTCTAGAATCTCCTCCAGTGTCCACTCCATTCTCCCTAACTCACTACTACTGCCCACACATCCACAAAGAATCGCCTTCTGGCCACAGAATTCGTTTGACAGCCGAGACAGAATCTAAACACAGCGGCGCTATTCCGCAGTGAATGGCTTGGCGCGCGCCAGCCGATTTCTGTTGATGCTGTGGCAGTAGCCGTCGTTTGTGTGGGCAAAATTCTCTTTTCGAATTCTCCTCTGCTTCTTCTTCTCGTGGGGAATGCGGCCTCTGCTCTTTAGCGTAGCCAAATCTTCTGAGTCACAAAACCTCGAAGTGGCGCCAGGTCCCTTCTGCCCCCTTCTGCTGGCTACCACCACCACCGCCGCCTGCCATGGCTGACACAGCTAAAGACGAAGACGGAGAGGTGGAGGCGGCAGAGGAAGATGGTGGTGGCGGTGGTGCCCCACAGGTGCTGCGTTGCTTTGTCTGCCACCACGACTTGCAGTTGCTTCCGGAGGACGAGGGAACGACCACCGAAAGACTCAGTCTGCTTGAGGTGCACCTCGTCAACGAGCACAAGGTGATCATACCGAAGTTCGCCGATTGGAACGACTTTTTCAGCTTTTATCGCACCATGGAGACTGATTTTGGGGATCTGCAGCTCAATGATCGCTGTTCTCCCTTTGTCATGAGCAGGTGAGTGAGGTGTTTGATGAAGAAGATTCCATGTTTTCTTATGTTTACCTTATTGTTTTTGCAGATTCGACAAACAAGTGACCTATCACGTTATCGACAAGGAGCGCTTTGATGAAAAGAATGACTCTCTGCGAAAGACGATTGAAAACGACTTTCTAGGCAACATTCTCAAGGAGGCACAGGATGAACGCAGTGAAACTACCTTTAAACGGACGTGCCTCTTCTGCAAAAAGGTCTTTGAGCAGAATCGAGCCCCACTCTTTGACCACCTCTACCACGACCACAACTTCTTCTTGGGTCACCCTGACAACATCATCAACTCAAATGAGCTGCTGGACGTGCTGGAGGCCAAGCTGAAACAGCTGCAGTGTCTCTACTGCGAGAAAACCTTCAAAACCTGGAACGTCCTGAAGGAGCATATGCGCAAGAAGGGCCACAAGATGCTGAATCCTAACAACAGCTCCTACGACAAGTTCTACCTGGTGAACTACCTGTGCAGTGATAAGAACTGGAAGCAAATCAAGCAGGAGAATGACTTCTACGACGAAGAGTGGAACGACTGGGTGGAGGAGGACAAGAAGCAGGACTGTCTGTGCTTCTTCTGCCCGTACAAGTGCAAGTTCGACAAGGTGAAGCAGCACATGCGGGAGACGCACCGCTTTGACTTCTCCCTCATCACCTCAATGGCGGACTTTTACGACCGCATCAAGGCAGTCAACTTCATCCGGAAGCGCTTCTTCACCAATCAGTGCTTCAACTGTGATATTCAGACGCCGTCGTTTCCGCTGCTCGAGGAGCACCTGGCCGCAACCCGACACATCACTACGGCACCGGCGAAAGATCTATTTAACCAGCCCGAGTATTACTTTCCAACTTACGAAGATGATGGCTTTCTCTTCTTCCTCGACGAGTTTCCCGAGGAGGAAAAGTGAGCGAAGAAAGAGAAAGAGAGAAAACCTCCTCATCCACCTGTTTTGCTTCATTCAAATCATTTTACTTGTTATTGTTCTATTCTATATGTTGATTCAGACTGAAATGCAAATTCACCACATGCACACAATCATGTAAATACTCTAAATAATAATCTTTTGAATTCTGTACATAAAAAATAATTAATTATACTCTATCAATTACTACTATCCAATCAGAGGACATCAAAGATGCTCTTTGCTTCGGCCGTCTTCTGGCGCTTGCTGGGGTTGCTCGAGTTGGAGTTGGTCGGACGCTTGCTGAAGATGGTCTTCAGGCGTTCGTCCTTCATGAAGTACGAGGAGATCTTTGAGTTGGTCTTCTTCTTTAGCGTCGGTCGAAGTGTCGTCTTTGGGCTAGTGAAGGCTTTTTTCAGAGCAGTGGTGGTGGCCTTTTTGGGAGAACCAGGCAACAGTGGTCCCTCGAAAGTGTTCGACTCATCGCCAAAAACCTCTTCAATAGAGGTCGTGAGAATGGTTCCACTAGTGGTCTGCACCGTGGTCTCCTCTACGCTCTTCTTCAGGCGGATCACCACCTTTTTCTGGTTGCTGCTGTCGTCGTCATCGCCGGAATTCGAGTCATCATCATCATCGGAAGAGTCGCTCAGGACATTGGCAAAGTGATCGAGCGCTCCGTCGTTCAGATTCCACTTGAACTTCTTCTTGCGGTCGCCGTCGTCCTCGTGAAGGTCGCCGTCATCAAAGAACATCTCCTTCATGATCATCAGCTGTCTTTTGTCCTCATCGAGCAGCGCTTTGCTAAAGGGGAAAATTTTGATTAAAATTAAAAAAA